TGTACAGCATGGTGACTATAATTAATAAACACTGTATTATTTATTTGAAAGTTGCTAAGAGAATACATCTTAAAAGTTCTTATCACAAGAAAAAACATTTAACTGTGTAGTGATGGGCATTAACCAGACTTCTTGTGGTGATCATTTTGCAATACATATATTGAATCATTCACTGGTGAATTCAACAAAACATTTACTGAAAAAAAAAAAACCCAAACTCTTTCAGAAAACAATCTCATTCAGAAAATAAAAGCAGATAGTTGTTGTTCAGTCTCTCAATCACGTTGATTCTTTGCAACCCCATGGACGGCAGTATGGCAGACTTGGCACCCTGATGCTGGGAAAGCGTGAGAGGCGGGAGGAGAAGGGGACGACAGAGGATGAGATGGTTGGATGGCATCACTGACACAATGGACATGGGTTTGTGTGGACTCCAGGAGTTGGCAATGGACAGGGAGGCCTGGTATGCTGCGGTTCATGGGGCTGCAAAGAGTCGGACACAACTGAGCGACTGAACTGAACTGAGTAATTTATCAAAGAAACTAGATAATTTGTGAAATTTCCTGTATCCTTAGTTCGGCTGCTCATATTGACTTGGTGTTTTGATCTGTTTCTGTGTCCTCCATGTTTCTTGCCATTTTACGAAGTTAGATCTAGAAGTTTGATTAGATTTAGGGTCAGTTTTTGTGCAAGAATATTTCATAGACCGTGTGTATTTCCTGTTGCATTGCATCGAGGCACATGGCATCTGATTGTCTCTCTTTTAATGATTTAAGATAATCAGTGGGTTCAGGTTTTGTTAGCTTGATCCAGCCGCTATAAGTTTCCCATCAATGTTCCACTTCATAATCCCAATAGCCACTGTTTGTGGCTGTTGCCTAGTCCCAGAGCTTCATTAAGAGCTGTGAACAGTAATTTTCTAATTCTACTAGTTCTGTGACATTTGGTGCCCTTACAAACTATCTGGGTATCCTGAAATCTATAGTAGAATAAATGCTTATTTTTTTTCCCCTTTTACCAATTGTAAAATAAAGATTTGGTTCCTTAGGTGATAGAAGCGTGAATGATGAAGAGATTTTTATTTTATTTTTTAGTATTACTATAAATGAATTCGTGGACTTGTGGATATTAGATGTGTTTCAATCCATTAGTCATTATTCTTTCTTAAGTTCAAGTTGCTCCATCTTTGGCCAAAGGGTCCCCCTTCATCCTTGCTCTTGGGTTCTTTTCACATAACTTCAATAGTATTTGATGGCTACCTTGCTTTCTGTCATTATAAAACACCTCAAGCTCATCTTACACAATCCTTGCCCCAGTTCTAACATCAGTCATTTCCTCAAGGAATCCTGGCTACTCTTAGTGGACAATGGCCTTTAAATTGTGCATTTGTACACAAGAGCTGCTCATAGCTGTTGGATTATCATTACTTCTTGACCTTTTCAGTGAACACAGTTAGGATATATTTATTTTATAGAATAAGAAAAATTAATGATTAATCACACTACCATTGCCGATTCAAATATTCGCTTATGGAATTTACACCTAACTTAATTGATTTCATACTTGTATATCTTTATCTTTCACTGAAGATCTGGTTTCTAACAACATTAAGACTTCTTTGCTATTTTATATACACAAAATATGTAAAATATACATGCAACAGCATCTAAATAACAATACCAGTATTATTACTAACAACTACTGTTACTGAATGCAGCTTGGTTTTTTTGCCATTCTTTTCTGTTCTTAGGCTATATCACACTAAGTATATACAGCCAAAATCATCAGTTTTAAAGTCAGTTTCTTATTTTTCCATGTGGTTATGCCAGTAACTTGAAATATACTTTGATTCATGGCTTTTTTTTCCTTGTAGGAAGTGCTTTGTTATTTTCTTTTAAAAATAATTACGTATTTACAAGATCCCAAATTCAAAACTGAGAATGAGACCGAGTAGATCAAAAGAAGTCTAGCTTCCACACCCATGGTTTTCACCTTGTTCTTTTCTTATAAGTAGCCCTTTTTAAAATTAGTGTTCAATTTCTTCTTCCATTGCTGCTTTTAAAAAATGTGAGCAAATGCACCACATCTTTCTTATGGAAGAGGCAACATATATCTGATGTATGCTTTCCTTTTTTTTTTTTTTGGACCACACTGCCCAGCATGTGGAATTTTAGTTCCCCCACCCAGGATGGAACCCACTCCCCCTTCGTTGGACATGCAGTCTTAACCGTCTAACATGCAGTCTAAACGGATCCCAGGGAAGGCCCTCAGCCTTGCTTTTTTTTCACTTAACAATATATCCTAGGGTTCCATGGCCTCCACAGAGATGGTCTTCATTCCTTTGTACAGCTGCACAGAAGTGCATTGTGTGGATGCACCCTGCTTTATTCAGCCAGGCCTTTGCGGATGGACTTGTGGGTTCAACAAACATTCATTGCATGGCTAAATCGTGCCAGGCACTGGAGATAAAGCCACGGTCTCTGGCCTCCGGAAACTCAGTGAGCAGAGGGGGTGAGCTCTTGGCAATAAAAGTACTTTCCTCATAAGGAATTAACTCGAATTCCACTTAGCACAAGGGGAATGTGGAACAGAGCCGACAGGGTCCGCAAAGGAGGGGTACAATAATGGTCTGTGGATTGCCATCTTGCTCCCATAGGGGCTGATATCTGATATGGGAGACTCTCCTTGGGAGGACTTTTTAATCAACGTCGGATATTGCTAAGAAAACCATCAGTGCCACCAATGGGTCAGAGAAAAGAAGGTCAAGTGAAAGGGAGAGAGGAAGGGTCCTCACCATAAAATTCCCCTAAAAGGAGGAAATAAAAGTTAATACAGAAGCTGTGGTTTAACAATAAGAACTAACACCTGTATTTAATTTACAAGAGACTAGGGATTGCTCTGAGCCACGTATATTTAACTTCTTTATTTCTCATAACAATCCTAAGAAGTAGGCAGTATTATAACCCACAGAGAAGTTACTGAAATTTTGGCCAAGGTCGGGGACGGGGGTCGGGGGAGGAGAGGGTTGGAAGCAGGAGAGAATCACAGACAAGATCCACAGATAGGGAGTTTGATGCTTTTGAACTGTGGTGTTGGAGAAGACTCTTGAGAGTCCCTTAGACTGCAAAGAGATCAACCCAGTCCATCCTAAAAGGAAATCATTCCTGAATATTCATTGGAAGGACTGACGCTGAAGCTCTAATACTTTGGCCATCTGATGCAAAGAACGGACATACTGGAAAAGACTCTGATGCTGGGAAAGACTGAAGGCGGGAGGAGAAGGGGAGGACAGGGTTGACACGGTTGCACAGCCTCACCTACTGGATGCACGTGAGTTTGAGCAAGCTCTGGGAGTTGGTGATGGACAGATAACCTGGCGTGCTGCAGTTCACGGGGTCGCAGAGCGGGACACGACTGAGCGATGGTACAACAAATCAGGGCCCTGTCCACGACGGAACAAAAGTCCTTTGAGTTTCCCCTCCCCCTCAACACTCTGGGGACCGGCACCTGCTCTTGACACCATCCCACGCCCTAAGATCTGCCTCAGGACGGCCTAGGGGCTCAGAACCCAGAGAAATCCAAGAGACCCGAGGCCACCTGTGGGCACACGGCGGATACTAAGCCGGCCTCCGGGGCCGCGTGGGTTTGCGCAGCGACCCGAGGCCTCCCTCCGGGAGGCGGCCGAGCAGGCTCTTCGACGGCCCTCGTCCCGGGTGTCCGCCGCGCGTTTCTCCGCGTGCGCTCCCGCGCACGCCGGGACACAGACCGAGTGTGCTTCCCCGGATTCCTACTGCACGATGGAAGTTACGAGAAATCACCCGGCAAATTCCCAGAACGGCCAAGCACCGCGCGACCTGAGGAACGCGTGAGCCAACCTTCTCGCCGGGAACCCACTGAGTCAGTGGCCCACACTTTTCCGGCAACTTCGGGGGGGGGGGCGGCCCCGCCCCCGACAGCCGCGGGAACAGAATGATAAGCGCCTGGCGCTCTACTCTGGCGACCCTTCAACGTTTCCTGCGGGTGAGTGTTCCCACAGGACTGCGACTACACGCGTTAAATGTACCAGAATGAAAACAACTGCGCGTATACTATGTATGTAAAAATTACCACCAACAAACAGCTGGAGCATAATATTTTTTGTAATTATAAATGATCCTTTTAGCTCACGTCAGAAAGGTAATGTGCCGATGTCGTAACAAGGTTTGGAGGGAGGCACATTTCACGCAGCAGCGTGAACACCCAATCATCATGCTCATGAACTACAAAAGGATCAGCTTAGTTAGCCGATTAAGCAGCTCCAGAGACGGCCCACTAACTTTTCACGAAGGATGACAGATGTAGGGTTTATTTATTTATACTTGCATATAAAATCCTGTACATTTTATCACCATCACCGACGTTCCGTGATATTTCTTTTGTTTCTACTTTAGTAGTCGGAAACAGAAAGAAAATATCTAGGAGGGTTATTCCCCATGCAAAAATCCTCCTCATGGCTCCGCCCTTTTTGACCCTGGGACGGCATTGCTTTACGATCGTCCGTCGTGAAATGATGGAGCGTTGCCGCTGTAATGGCGGAAGCTAGCCTTCTGCTTTGCGGCAGCGACGCTGGCTGAGTCGGATCCTGACACGCCCAGGCGCGCCGGAAGGGCTTCAGGTAACGGTGGCCGTGGGAGTGTCGTGCGTGTGGGGTTTATTTCTTAAACTCTTTTTTTTTTTTAAGTCTTCAGAAAGGCCAGAGTAACTTCCCCCCTCCATTTTTGGAATCAGACTCTTACTTCCAGAGATACCTCTTTCTCGCATCTTTTCCTTTATATCTTTACTCTTCTGCGGTTAGACCGTCTCTCCCCGCTGTCCTCCTAGACGTCTCACCGGTCTGTTTTTTTTTTTTTTTTTTTTCTTCTTCTGTGCTTTTCGAGAATCCCAGCCCCCGAGGTGATCTTTCCTCTCGCTCTGTAGCGGATCCCCGGCCGCCTCCGTCCTCCGCGTTCTCGGTCTGAGGGATGGAGCCTCACGGCCCTCGGGAATCCCCGGGGGGACCTTGGGAGGGTTCTTCCTTGCCCGGAGCGTGGCCTTCCTCCGCCCTCGGGCAGGCCTTCTCCCAGATCTTGCACCAGTTTGCCGGCCAGGAATCCCGACGGGGCAAGGCCAGAAATGCAGCTCTTGAGGACCTCGCTGCTCTGCTCGAAGCTAAAGAATGTGATCGGTTATTTGAGGGGAGTGACGCCTCGCTCCGCGGAATGCCCGAGATGCTGGGGCAGGTGGTAAAAGCCCTGGAGAAATATGCAGCCCCTGCCGAGGAGCCGGAAGGGAGAGGTGACCGCCACTCCGAAGTGGCGGAGAAAGCGGCGGCAGTTGCGTTCCTGTTTCTAAAGCTCTTGAGGAAGGTCGAGGCCGCCAAGAATTCCTTGGTTTGCCCTGCATGGAAGACAAGCCTCCGTCCCTTGGCAGGACCCATCTATGTTTTTGCGGTCACACACAGCTTGGAGCAACCGTGGACCAGCCAAAGATCTCAAGAGGTCGCTGGACAGGTGCTCGCTTTATTGCTTCAGGTCACTGATTGTGGTTCTGTGGCTGGATTCCTCCACGGAGAAAATGAAGACGAGAAAGGGAGATTTAGTGCGATCATGGGGTTTCTCAAACCCGATTTGAATAAGTGAGTACTCTTGCCAATAAGGGCCATCAACATGAGCTTCAGCCTAATGTTTTAGAAGGCTAGAGCTCAAAGGAGTCTTGTATTTTCATCAGTAAGATGAGGGCGTTTAATAGCAGGTCTCAAGGCCCAGAAAGATTGTGATTTGCTATAAATGACATTAACTAGGTAGTGGCAAATTCAAAATTAGAACCTAGGTCTTCAGACTCGATTTTCCAGTGCTCCTGACAACTGCCCTGAAATTGGAAATTCTGTCTCATTTATTTAGACTTAACTTTCTTTAGTTAGGTGAGGTTGGGGATTTGGAGATTTAAAGGTAGGGTTTAAATTTACTCAGGGCTGTTGAAACTCATCCTTGTTTGTTAGATGTGGTAGCCATGTTTGGTGGCTTAGTGGTAAAGAATCCACCTGCCAATGCAGGAGACACAGGTTCCATCCCTGGGTAGGGAAGATCCCCTGGAGAAGGAAGTGTCAGCCTACTCCAGTATTCTTGCCTAGGAAGTCCCATGGACAGAGGAACCTGGCGGGCTGCGATCCATGGGGTCACAAAGAGTTGGACATGACTTAGCGGCTCAACAACGGAGTTAAAAGGCTTAGTTATGAGGCAGCCTGGTATTGCTTTTTTATTGCTTCAGAATAGGACCAGTGTCATTGTTATAAAGATAACATTACGTGTTACACTGTATTTGAAGATTGTTTGAGTAATGTGTATAAACTCACTTTATAAGCTATAAATTGCTGTTTGAATGTTGAATCATTTGCTCCCATATAGTAATAATGTTACTGAAGGCATTTCCTTTCCTCCTCTCTCCCTTCTCAAGACTTTCTCCCTGTAACCACCACCACTGCCATCGCCACAGATTCTTTACATAGCAGTGGCTGTAACTGGCTGCTTTTCCTTGGATATGCTTTAGGCCCAGAGCCCTGGGTAATAAATGTATTTAGTGTAATTTTAGTAAGTTACTTTTATCTAAATCTTAAAAATGTATGTTATAACATCAAGAGTTACCTTATGCGGGACATTTTTTTTTTTCAAGTCCAAGAAAATCCATTGAGCTTCAACAGGACACCATGTTACTTAATGTGGTTTCACATTTCCATTTAGGGACTCCTGGAAGAATAACCCGGCCACCAAATACGTTTTCTCATGGACTTTGCAAAAGGTCACTCGACCCTGGCTGAGCCAACATCTGGAGAGAATACTTCCTCCATCATTGCTCATCTCAGATGACTATCAGACTGAAAACAAAATCCTGGGTGTCCACTGCCTCCATCACATTGTGCTTAATGTGGTGAGTGACCTCCGCTCTCTGGCATGTGTATTGATGGCACAGACTGAGTCTTCATAGCCATTCCTCATTCACAGTATCACCATTTTATTGTTTGTATTTATATGTTTTATTAACTATTAATGCTGTTATGTACCTCAATTCAGTAATTTATATTTTTGCCTATATTTTCCTCAAACAGTCTAGTAGCTTGTGAGGTGAAGTGAAAGTCTCTCAGTCTCTCAGTGAAAGTCTGACTCTTTGCGACCCCATGGACTGTAGCTTTCCAGGCTCCTCTGTCCATGGGATTTCCCAGGCAACAATACAAGCAGCTTGTATCTCAGAGGTGACACATGTAAGAAACACAGACCATTGTCAGACTGAAGAACCAGACTTTGACTAATTAACAACTGACTTTCAAGGAACAAAAAATTCAGAAGCTGAAAGGGATTATACCCAAATGTGTAAGCTATTACTCAAGGACACTTGTTTTCTTGTGTGTCTTATGGAGCTTTTGAAATACACACAGAAATAGAGCAGTGTAATAAATCCCACGTACCATGTTTGGTCTCAGAATTTCTCAGCATCCCGCCCACCTTGGGAGGCTCTAACTGGGGGATCTGTCTCATTGCAGCCAGCTGCGGACTTGCTGCAGTACAACAGGGCCCAGGTCGTCTACCATGCCCTTTTCAGCCACCTGCACACACGGGAGCACCTCCTCATTCAGGTGATTGTCAGATTCGCTCCAGACTCTAAGCTTTCAAGTTTGAGTAGAAGGTGGCATTATGTGAATAAGAATGGTTGGTGGCATTTTTCTCTTCTTGGAAGGTGGGGATGATAACTAAGAACCACTACCAAGTTGAAAATACGGGGATAGCTGCACTTCCCTGGCAGTACAGTGGTCAGGAGTCTGCCTGCCAGTGCAGGGGACACAGGTTCGATCCCTGGCCCGGGAAGACCCCACATGCAGCAGAGCCGCTGAGCCCCTGTGCCAGTCACTGAGCCTGCCTCGAGCCCGTGGGCTGCAGCTGCTGAAGCCAGTGCACCTAGAGCCCACGCTCCACAACAGAACTCACCGCATTGAGAAGTGAGCTTACTGCAGTGAAGAGTAGCCTTGGCAGTCTCCAACTAGAGAAGGCCCTCGAGCAGCAACAAAGGCCCAGCACAGGCAAAAGTAAATACATTAAAAAAAAAATGGGGATAGCAAATGGCTAGTGAAAATGTCTCAGTACCAAAGAGGTATCCATGTGTCTGAGCCTCCACAGAAAAGCCAGTGTTTTGTCTTCATCTGGGTCAATTATATATCACTTGGGGGCAGCTTTATGTCTGAAAAAGTTCTAGTTTTTAAAAGGATTTTCTTTTTGTAGTCTCTCATCTATTTGTGAACAAGAAAGAAAGATGAGTTCTTTCTTCCCACTGACTCCCACCCCCCACCCCCGCCTGCCCGCCCGCCTCTTTTTTTTCTTTTTAGCCACATGGCTTTTAGGATGTTAGTTCCCCAACCAGGGCTCAAACCCTGGCCCCAAGAGTGGAAGTGCAGAGTCCTAACCACTGGACCACCAGGGAACCCCCGAATGAGTTCTATTTTTATTAAGTGTCTTTCCTTCTGGGCTGCTTTTATATCAACACAGACATGGGGAACTCTTTGTATGTTGGGTAAGTGTCATTTGCTGTTTCCTCCAATAGACACTGAGTATCTATTGTGTGCCAGTCACCACTGTAGATTCCAAGACTGAATGAGTCAGGCAAGGTTTCTGGCTTTAAGATATCCTTTGCAGACACATTTATGTAAATATATATATACTGTAAATATAGATACAGTACAGAGTAATACATCTATTAAAAGAGGTGTGTATAAAATGCAGTAGGTGTTTAACAATAGGCAGCTAACAAGGTTTGGTGGTATTGGGGTGTTTTAAGAGACTCTGGTAAGGAGGTGATACTTGCTTATAAAGAATGAGAATTTCTGGGGGATAGTGTGGGGGGAGGGGCTCCAAGACCATTCTGAAGTCAAGAAACAAGTTACATAAAATTAGAGGTAGAAATAACCTTGTTTCTTATTTTAGGCCAGATATTCTCCCCCCTCTTACCTCAGCCTGCCCCTTTCTTTTTAAGATATGATTTTAGGTTTTGAGAATCTAGGCTATACTAAAAGCCAGTAAGGTTAAGACTCTTGCGATGGTAGTTAAAAAGTAAGAGAAAAAGCAACGATCCCAGGAGAGCTAAAAGGGATTATGTGGACATTGAAACTTGAGATAGGGAGGTCAAAAGTGGATTCAAATAGAGTCATCTTAGATTCTGTTGGGGAGAGGTCTTATAGTAGATATTTATACTTGTAAATATCAACTTAAACTTAGGTATTCAGTGACAATAGACTGAGACTCCTAAATTCTGGATTAAAGTCTTAGCTCTGCTCCATTCTATAGATTAGCAAAGAACTGTCCTAGGAGATTTTAACTTGAGACCATCTGATGGAAATAAAGAATGTTAAAAGTTAAATATAAAGTAATACATTACACTTAATGTATTATTACTCACATCTTTTAGAATTCTATGACATGGACACTGAGGATGGTAGATGAGTGGAAGTTGCAAGAGAAATCATTGAGTGTTATGACTACCAACTGGTGAACTAGAGCTCCTTTCTCCTACTTCCTCCTAGGCTGTGCTCCTGTGTCTGCTGGATTTATTCCCCGTCCTAGAGAAAGCCCTACACTGGAAGGGAGATGGGGCCCGACCCACCACACACTGTGACGAGGTCCTGCAGCTGATCCTGACGCACATGGAGCCCGAGCACCGCCTTCTCTTACGCAGGACTTACGCGAGAACCCTGCCAGCTTTTGTGAAGAGGTGAGTCCCTGAGCAGCTGGATCTGGCCATATTCCTCAGCTTCACTCTGCATCGCATCTTCTCTGTTGTCGTTAGGTTGGGGATCTTAACTGTCCGACACTTGAAAAGGCTGGAGCGAGTCATCATTGGTTACTTGGAGGTATATGATGGACCCGAGGAAGAGGCCAGATTGAAGATACTGGAAACCCTGAAACTTCTCCTGCAGTATGCTTGGCCCAGGTATGACAGCCAGCACTCAGGTGTGCTGAGGGGCGAAACTCCAGCCCTACTCCCTGCAGGACTTGCCCAGATGTGTGCGCAGTAGAGTATTAAGGACAGGCTGTACAGATACCCGTTGGACTTGCCTGTGAAAGTGGCATTGACAGGACATAGACCCAGTTCCCTCAGGTGGCAGCTCTGTCTGTAAGGCCTGTTAGAACGTTCAGGCTGCTGAGCAGCGCGACAGTAGACACCCTTGACTTTGTTCACCCTTAGGTTTCTTAAGTCTGATCAAGAGTGCAGCACTCCCAGCACATCACTGAACGTGTGTGATCAGAAGAATGCTGATTTGGGACACATTTGCTTAGCATTCCAACTCTGGCTCAAGGGAGGTGTCGTGAACAGCAAGCTGGAACCCGAACACATTGAGTCTGCAAAAGGCTGTCTTGCAGGAAATGTTTAGTTGCTCAGTCGTGTCCAACTCTTTTAGACCCCACGGACTGAAGCACGCCAGGCTTCCCTGTCATTTACTCTCTCCCATAGTTTGTTCAAACTCTTGTCCATTGAGTCAGTGATGCTATCTAACCATCTCATTCTCTGCCACCCCATGCTCCTTTTGCCTTCAATCTTTCCCGGTATCAGGGCTTTTTCCAGTGAGTCTGAATGAAATAACAAGACTTAATTGGGCATGAGTCCCAGTGTCTTAGCAACACGTATGTGTCTGTTCTGAACTCTATTCTCTCATCTCCTTATAATGTACCCCAGAATCACATTTGTACCCAGGTTGCATTTATTTACATACTGTCTCCTCTGCTGAACTCCAAGCTCCAGGAAGATGGAAGATCACCTTGGTATACCGAGAACTCCAAATTTACTCAGAACCTGGTATTAAGTTTTGCTGTTTAGTCACTAAGTGGTGTCTGACTCTTTTGCAACCCCATGGACTATAGCCTGCTAGGCTTCTCTGTCCATGGGATTTTCCAGGCAGGAATACTGGAGTGGGTTGCCATTTCCTCCTCCAGGGGATCTTCCCAACCCAGGGAATCCTCCTGAACCAGGGATTGAACCCAAGGCTCCTGCATTGACAGGTGGACTCTTTCCTACTGAGCCACCAGGGAAAGCCCAGTACTAAGTACACAGATATTTCAGAAGTGACTGGAATAGACAGATGAATGAAATTGAATCAATACTAAGTAGAAGTCAAGAAAATGTGGAGAGGTCAGAAAACGAATGTGAAGCATGGAGGGGGTGAGGTCTGGGGAGTGGAGCGCAGAGCCAGCTGTGTTGCAAGACGACAATGAAGTGCTGAACGGCACGCACATTATAGGAACCCACTTCATGGTTTTCAGATCAAGATGAAGGATGTAAACTTCTCTTCTCCCAGTCGTATTTCTGCCCAGAAGTGTGGTTTATTTTTATTTTCACACTAAATTTAAATTTTTCAGCTTCCTTAGGGCTTTTTAGTGTTTTTTTTTTACGGTTAAAAAAATACATAAAATTTACCATTTTCAAGTGTATAATTCAGTGGCATTAAGCACATTTACAATTTTATGTAATCATCATCATAAAAACTTTTAGAAAGGCAAAGCAGAAGTAAATAGAGACAGGGCAGTAATCTAGGATCTAGCATTAAAGTGACAGAAAAGTTAAATCAACTCTGAATTCTCAGAAGCCAAGCTTACTTCCCTCACTGTATCTTTAACCTCCAGGCCTAAGACCACATCCAAGCTAAAGAACTGTGGGCCGTTTCCTGTTCTCTGGCCAAAAGTATAGGCCCCTGGTAGGGAGGGCCCAGTTCTCCCTTTTCAGGAGGGCTGTTTCCTAACAGTAAAACCACCAACTTCTGGAGGGCAACCAGGTGTTCTTGGGCATGCCAGCGTGTCCGGGTGTGTGGGCAGTGTGCTATAGAGAAAACCAGCGGGCTTGGAGTTCAGAAGTCTGGAGTCTGGTCTCGTTCTGCTTCCAGCTCTGTGGTCTTAAACTTGGACTTCAGTTCCTTCATGAAATGAGGACTTTATCCCAGATGCCTTTCTCAGTTTTAATATCTGATTCAGAGTATGAATATCATCTTTCTTCTTGATTCCAGAGTCTCCTGTAGACTTGTGGTCTTACTGAAGGCCCTCTTGAAACTGATCTGTGACGTAGCAAGGGATTCAAGCCTCACACCCGAGTGTGTTAAGAGCGCCTTGTTAGAAGAGGCCACGGACTGCCTGATTCTCCTGGACCACTGCTCTTCAGGACGGGTAAAGGTGAGGACGGTCTACCACTCGGTTTCAGTTAGGCCTCGTCATCCTCAGGCGATTTCTGTGATAGTTTTGTGCCTGACCGAGTCTGTAATTGGACATGGAAGGTTCGAGTCTCTACCTCTGAGTCTTTTAGCCTTCAGCAGAGTTTGATCAATACCTATTCTCCCTTTAAAGCTATTCAGAACTTTTTAGATGAAAAGGCAAGAGGATCAGTGGATGCTTCTGGAGCTAGGACAAAGAATGGGCAAAAGGATCATGACTGAGAGTTTTCAAAATTGAAATTCTGTTCTAGTGGTCTGAATGAAGAGAAAAAGTTAAAATAATGGGCTGTAATCCACCAAGGAATAATTTAGATAGATTAAGTAATTCAGATAACAGAGATGTTTCCAGTTTTTCAGAGGCAATGATGTTTTCCACATACTTTATCCATGTGGGAATTCTTCCTTTGGTCTCATATTCCACATTAGTTTACTTCTCCAAGCGATTGCATATAATAGCTGTGTGTCCACGTATACATAATTTATAAACCATTGTCTCAAAATCTTTAAAGTTATAGGCAGCATGAAAAGAAATTAACATCCTAAAAATATTGAGGGATACTTTATTCGTCTTGGCTTTTTAACCTCAAGCAGTTTTCAAGCCCTAGATCTAACCTGATTCATCCTGGCTGGTAAAAAGCTGCTGCTTCGTGAGTCAGTAGGACATTTCCAGTTCCTAAAGTCACACCAGTTCTGTGAACTGCCCTAGTGTCATCCGTTCTTTCCTTCTCTGAATCTGATACCAAGAAAGAACCACCAAGGTGCAATAACAATCAAAAAAACAAGCCTGTCTCGTTTCACGTTTCAGGGTCTCCTGGCTAAAATCCTCCACAGTTGTGAAGACAGTCAGGTGGGGAGCTGCATCCGAAGAGTGCAACAGCTTTCTGAAGGTGCTCCCTGCGATGCAACTTAAGACTTGTATTACTTTCCTGAAGAGGAAAGGATTTTCTTTCTCTTCCAGTTGTTTTAAAGTGGAATTATTTCAGGCAAAAGGTATATTTATACTAAACATTATAACTTAGACTTTCTCTTTCCTTTTCTTTTTAACTCCCACAGAAGTAGGGAAAGGAGAATATGAAAAAATGGAATCTGGACATTTCTAAATAAAGGGGTGGGGGAGGCATGCAAGAGGGAGGATGCCAAGGAAACAGGGGTGAGTGGGTAACATTTAAATTTAGAAATATTTATACCCACAGACTCATCCCTTATGCTTCTTGGGCTCAAGCTGTTACTTCAGCACATGTCATGTAACAATGCTATAAAAATATTCACAATTTAGGCTTTTCTCCACTCCCTCCCAGATTTTTTGCCCCACAGAACTAGCATAAATATTAAAAACACAAATATTGTGTTAAAGATGAAGAGCAAAACCCAGAGGTGTTAAGTGTTTAAGATGTAAAAAAAGGAAGACGTTCAGCCCTATTTACAAGCGTCTGAAGGGAAGTCACGTGGTTCTGGCCCTGGCCACGGGCTCTGTCTCGTGCTCGTATTCTATCTCAACGTAGGCTCTTTTCTTCCTCAAAGGCCCTTTCAGAGGTGTTTTGCCTTTGTGTTTGGCATCACGGGCTTTTTCTTCTTCACTGGAGGATTTATCATCCTGATCTTCATCACTGCTGGCGTCCAGTTTATCCATATCCTAACACATGAAGGGAAAAAAAAGAAGATACTAGATTCATTCCCTAAACTCCTGTCTCTGTTCTTTCTCTTTAGAACTAAAATTAGAGAATTTGCTTGTTCTGTGTGATCCGAACCCCCACCCCCCATTTTTGTTGAAGCCAAAGGACAATGTTTTACCCATGAACCTCACCTCAAAATCACTTATGTCGCTGTCATCCACTTCATCATCTTCCACAAACTCTCTCTTCCCCACATCCTAAAATCAAACTAACCATTAGCTTCAAGATACATAATGAGAATTCAGTTCAGACATCTAGTTTTATTCTTTGATAAGTACATCACTAACGAAAACACGATGAGAATGGTTACTAGGCAACCAAATCAACTTACTTCTTTAGGGGTATCAATTCTCATGCCTGATTTAAATCATCAGAGATAAAACATCCTCATTTTAATCGGTTAAAATCAGTATATAGGAACAAACAATTCTTTATACATTCAACTAAAACTATTCAAATATTAAAAACTATATTACTAATAGGAAAAGTACAACTGTGTACGTATGTGAGTCTCCTGTGAATCAATTTGTTGAATCTGCCCCTTTCCCAAAAATACTATCACTTAAGTACGTCCTGTATATTAACAGTAAGATTAAACCCTTGATGAACTTTAGTAGGCTCCTTAATGTTACGTTCCTTTAGTCAACAAGGACTTGTCATTTGTCACCGTGCAGGAAAAATTTCAGAAGGCTACTAAGGAAGATTAAATTGTCAATGTGTGGTTTGTTGGCTGATCCTGGAGACCAAAGAAGCCACTACTGAAGCAGATTAATAAAAAATGATAGGAAATGAGTGACCAGATAACTGTTTTTTGGTTAGGGAACTAAAAATGATATTCTGTCTCTGTTACATAAAAATAGATCTAATCCTACAGAGTACTGCTTGACAGAGCAAAAACACAAAGCTTACTTCTTCATCTTCTTCATCATCTTTTTCCTCAGTATCTGAAGAGTCACTCTCTGCCTCCTGCTGTTCCAGGGCCTTATCGAAGGCGTGGATGGGGAAGTTGTAGATGTCACCGTACTGAAGAAAAGAAACATGGGTCAGCTTTCGCCACGTTTGACCTTGTGCTTAAAGTCCACTGTCCAACCAGCATATTTTTTTCCTCAGTGATTAAATAGGAACATTTAGTTTGACAAGTAATAGTACTATATTATGTTCAAGCCTAGAGCCAGTGGTTTCTTTAAAAAACCCACATTTGACATTTAAATAATCAGCAATACCAAACTGGTAACTTCTATGAAGGATGGACACCAAATCAGTTAAAATATAGTAGTATATAAAACCCATGGATTGAAACAAATGTAGTTTTGCCAACAAAGGGGAAATAAGATTTAAAAAGCATATTTTATTTATGTTGTCTCTTTAAATAACATCCATTTTTCAAAAGAGAATAAAAATTCATTTTAAAGAACCCTAAAAGACTAGGATGAATAAGCAGAAGGATCAAAGCTGTGTGGCTTTTGTAGAGACCTAAAATTGCCGTGTTTGGAGGAGGAGTTGGGAATAATGGCAAAAAAGGAAAGGTCTCCAAACTGGAGTATCAAGGGTTAACTGCAGTAGTTTACATGCTTGCATTAGCCAGAGCTAATATGATACTTATTTTATTCCAAGAATAAAATCGAGGTAAGGCTGTTTCTAACATCTTTAAAAATAAAACCAATTTCCAACTAGTCCCATGTCTCCTGGCACATTACCTAGCACCTAAAAAATAAAATCTGCACCCCAGAGTTTCTAGCTTTCTCACCGTATCCTGTTTCAGTCTCTCCAGCAACTCTTTCTCGATGGCATTGTCCAGCTGGGCAGCTATTAATGCCTTTTCCTGTAAGAGAGAAAGAACAAACCCATTTACTTCATTAGTACTCACTGTTCAGCCTGTAGAAGGGAAGAAACCAAGTTTTTATGTGAAAGATGTAATAATCACCTTTTCCCTCTTGCTATAACAGGAACTTCTGCCTGTCTAACAAGATATATTTTTTCCTTGTCAAACCCTGGAAATCTTTCAACTTAAAAAAATTCCTATGGTTTTATGAATAGATTTCTAAATTAAATTCTAAGTCTTTGATAAAGCAAATTGGTATATGAGTACATAAATATTTCAGAAAATTAGCAATCCTGAAGCAAGACTCTATAATAAAGCTGCAAAAAAGGAACAGAGACCTTCACTCATATACATTTTCTAAAGCCATAGAAACAACATGTTAGAAAAGAAGATGAAAAAATCTCTTCCTTTTCCTACTGTAGAAATCAGGGAACTATATTAAGCATCCTGTGATAAACCATAAAGAAAAAGAATATATATGTAACTGAAGCACTGTGCCGTACAGCAGAGATTAACACAACGCTGTAAATCATACTCCAACAAGAAAATCTTCCTTTAGTGATTTCTTACAGGTGATGATACATGGTATCTCTACCTTTACAAAACTGAGACATAAAACCCAAAATGTAGCCTTATACCTTTTTCCCCAAAGACTGCATTAATATGATAGTGGAAATCTCAGGATGTTAGTGTTATACTCTGAAGCTGTGTTAGAATGAATTGTGCACAGGATCAGTTACAAAGGAGATGGGGGCTCACAGAGCAGTCAAGAGGTTATTGTGATGTTCTACATTTTTCTCTAAAGGGGGTGCTTACACCTCAAGGGTGATCTACTGAGATGTAGGAACCAAATGCTCAAAACTTCTGTAAATATTTTTTCTTTAAAATACTACACAAAGAGTATAAAAGGGGTGATCTCATTCAGATTCTTGCAGCATACAGCTATTTGGTTAAGTTTGGTTACGTAGCTCTATAGATGATAGTGAATAGTATGCAATAAGATAGGCAGTAGTTATATATGCTGGTTATTTAATGGTTTAGCATTTGAGTCACAGAACTTAAAGAACCATGCATTTTTCTCACACACACACACACCCCCCGTTTAGATATGTCAACATTTTCTAAGATAACAAATGGCTATCAGTGGTATGTAATATGAAGTTTTTAAAGTCTTGACAGTCAAGGAAGATGAAAACTCGCTAGCCAGATTTAAACAAAGGTGTCTGCATAACTGGTGGTGGTGAAGGAAAAATGAACAGCAAGTACAAAAGGCAGGCACTCAGCAATACCCTCCTTTCTCTGCCTGAGCTCCATCACCTATGACAGCCCTTAGAGGCAAATTTTACTTTGCCGAGAACCAGACTTTCACTATATCAAAACTATTATTTAAATGTATCTCTAGCACAAGCGTACATGTGTAATAACATCCGTAAATTATCTACTGGGGAGGAAATGTTCAAAAATTTTATTGATGGAGTGATCAAAAAAGTTTGGAGACCAATGACTCATGCTTGAAATGCAGAATCTATGTGATTAATGGAAACAAGAGCATCAAGATTTCTAAAGCTCTTTCTTGACAGGATATGACAAATGATGAGGTACATGTTTGTGGATGTGCAGTAAGCAAAACAAATACTTAAAATGACTGAAAATGTGAACTTGTCAGGAAGACCTCATTCCGGGTCTTTCAACCATAAGAATGCTCAGCCTGAGTGAGGTCCCATGAAGTGCACAGGGAGACTGCTCTCTTCCACAAAGACTGGAATCTCCTGACTAGATTTTCCACGGTTAGCACAATATTACCATCATTGTTCACTACCTCAGTAACAAAGCTGACTAGTTCAGAGAAACGAATAATGTCAATCCCTTAACAGCAATTTCAGAACCCCCAAAGCTCAATGTGGGCTTCTCTGGTAGCTCAGCTGGTAAAGAATCCGCCGACAATGCGGGAGACCCTGGTGCGATTCCTGGACTGGGAAGTTCTCCTGGAGAAGGGACAGGCTACCCACTCCAGTATTCTTGGGCTTCCCAGGCGGCTCAGACGGCAAAGAATCTGTCTGCAATGCAGGAAACCTAGGTTCTATCCCTGGGTTGGAAAGATCCCCTGGAGAAGGAGACAGCAACCCACTCTAGTATTCTTGCCTGGAGAATCTCCATGGACAGAGGACGTTTTTTTCAAAAAATTTTACCTACTATAAATTCATCTAGTGAAACACTTATATATCACTGTACAACTACTAGTGTGTGTGACTAGAATCCTCAAAATTAGTTGAGAGTAAAATGTAAAATACAAGATCAGCAAAACATCATAGGATTCTAAATCTGAAAACCCTGACTCAAAAATTTCAGACAAGGAGCTGTGGATGTCTGATGAGGTTATTTTTCCTGTTTCGTATTATAAATGTCCCTGAAGCACCCACATTTTATCTGGCCCCAAGAGTCATAATCTTCAGATACAGAATACCAGATACTGTATGCAACTAACACTGTTGTCTATTATCTAGGGCGTGAACAGCTCACAGACAGTGGTCACTGAATAGTGCTCATGAGCCCTGCTTACACATCCCTGCTCTTCAGTGAATATGGAGATGTCGTGACTATCAGAACAATAAGTTACCTCTCTCCGTTTTTCCCTCCGCTCCACCTTCTTACTCAAAGGAACAAGTTTCCTCCTGTGGGAAAAAGAATACATGATCAGAAAACACATTCCTTTATTTGAAAAATGACAAGAAAAAAGGATGAATTGATTTTGTAGGGCTCACCTCAATATAGCAAGATTATATACTAAGATATCCTTGATAATGCTATAAAGTCAAGTAATTTTACATACATTTGACAGACATCTTTCACATACATGGCTGTTTTTTGTTTCTTCAGGCATTCTGAGATCTCTGAGAGCATTCACAATGCTGAAGATTAATGCTTCTGTGAACTACGAGAAAAGAACTTTCTAGAGAAGTGACATCTCTAGCTTTCTCTGCAGGTCACAATGAGAAAGCATTAGGGCTACCACTCCTTAAAGAAGGCATGCAATTAATTCTGTGGATTTCATATCACTTTAAAAATTAGTTTTCAGTGAACCCAGAGTGAAGTTCTTACACTCATTTAAAATTCCCTAACTTTAGGATTCCCTCAGGGTTATAAAGACAGTTTTCTGAAGCTGATGTTCAGACAGGAAGGGAATAATCAAGTTGTACTATATGCTTTTAAAATCCTGAAAAAGGGAAAAATTTTAATTTGTGGTAAAACTGCTGCTGCTTAGCATGTCATTAAAAATTACCCAAAGCTGAACTTAAGAAAAAGCATTTCTAGAGGTTTCACCATCTCTCAGCTTTCATAATATGATGCATGCAAAGACATTTAAAAATGAATGATCAATACTTACTGTCGCTTAAGTGTAAGTTTTCGAATTCGAATTAGGTACTGAGTGATCTTGGTGAATCTCTGCTTACATTTGTGTCGAATGAAACGGGGCCAGTAAATTAGGTTTTCATCTATTTGCTCCAGTGCTTTCTCATAGTTTTTATGAAGCCGGACCTGTTGAACAGATTAACAGAAGCATGATGAACAAGGATAAATGAGCAGGTCTTCACTGTTAATGACACCCATGGGGCCTCCTAGAGGCCTTAAACTCCAGGAGTTTAAGGTAGATGTGGCCAAGGAAGGGGGAAAAACCACGTGGCCTTCTTGCTGTTGATTAATGGTCATGGTAATTTAATACCCCAAGTCTTACCCGTTCCCAGAGACGCCTGGGGAAAGCTGCTCGTTCTATAACCTTCATATACAAGTAGCACTGTCCTGCAGGATACAGTAAATACTTCTGTTATTATTTTCAGAGACTAAAGAACATCCTTTTAAAAGCTGCTGAGTACTTCTCGGAAGTTAAACCTGAGGAGTTACCTTTCTCTTCTTTGATAGTGGCATACTGGCTGTTTGCCAGGGGACAGGATGACCGATTACACAGTCCAGTCAGGCTATATTCATTTCTGCAGAAACTCTGAGTCTTGGTTCTAAACAAGAGGGAAAGAACCAAAATTACAAGATGGGTTACCAAGAGGGCAACTGAAAGAATCTCTGTTCAAGCTGAAAATCTAGACTCACCTTATTTTGAAGGAACAAAATTGCTTGTTTCCTAGTGTATCCCAGATAACCTGTAAGACAAAAGTAGAAATCCATTTCAATTGCTCTCACCTAAGAGACGCCACATTAATCCAAGAAAACAATGCCCTGCTTTAATAAGAAAAAGTCTCTAAGGACTTTTGAGGACAAAGTGCTTTGTAAAATAGTCTGATTTATTTGTTATTTTACACAAATAACAGATTCTTACAGGAAAAGTAAATACAAATTGACAATAACCATAACCTTACTGCCCAGAGATATAATTTCATTAGTATTTTGTAAATATTTGTATGTTACACCAACTAATATGCCTACATGGATATTTTGAACAGTATGAGTCTGTAGTATGTATATATAAACTATATTATATGTATAATAGTAACTTTCCTTTTTTACTCAGTATGTTCATCATCCATTGTGAAAGGCGGCACAGTACTACGTTTTTAGATAGACATTCCATGATTTTATCTCGTTGAGGACAAGGAAAATCATCTGCTCTCTTCCACTAACTCATGTGCTCTATATTCATTCGGCATTTAATGTACACTTAGTAGTTATGTAAGACACTGACATTTCAAAGTCCTGACACACAGGAGGTACTCAAGCACATGCTGAATGAAGGAAGGTACAGTCCTTAAAGAGTGTTCTCTATCTAGTTAGAAAGATACAAAACATCAAGAAGCAGTAGTTGCTAAATACCACAATACTGCTGCTGCTGCTGCCAAGTCACGTCAGTCGTGTGCGACCCCATAAACGGCAGCACACCAGGCTCCCCTGTCTCTGGGATTCTCCAGGCAAGAGTACTGGAGTGGGGTGCCATTGCCTTCTCTGAAATACCCACAATAGAGGTGTATAAATGGCTGAGAACCTGTGAGCGCGCTGCCTTGAGGAGCTGGGAAAGGGCTCTAGAGAAGTTAAAGGGAAAAACACAAAGAAGCATTAAAGAATGAAACATTTTTGGAACTTTATGGGACCTGTTTGGTAGCTCAGATGGTAAAGCGTCTGCCTACAGTGTGGGAGACCCGGGTTTGATCCCTGGGTTGGGAAGATCCCCTGGAGAAGGAAATGGCAACCCACTCCAGTATTCTTGCCTGGAAAATCCCATGGACTGAGGAGCCTGGTAGGCTACAGTCCATGGGGTCACAAAGAGTCGGAAGCAACTGAGCGACTTCACTTTCGCTTTCTTGGTGAGGGATGGTTGGTGAGGGATGGTAGGAAACAGGTAAGAGGAAATGAAACTGGAAAAGCAGGAGCTAATTCTGGCTTGTGGCTTTAAATATCATCGTAAAGTTGGTGACTCCCAAACTGTCATCTCCTAGTCAGACTTCTGAGCACCAGATTGGTATATACATCCAGCTGCCTACTTGACATCTCTGCCTGAATGTCTGAAAGGTCTCAAAACACATTAGCAGGTCCAAATGGAGCTTCCAATTCCACATCTCTCAAAAGAACACCTTCCCTAGTCTTCCCCACATCCATAAACAGAATCACCATTGAACAGCCTGTTCAAATCCAAAAGCCACTTGATTTCTCCCCTCTCCTCATCTCACCATAACCAAGTCTTGCCAGTTATGATAAAACAGATCTCAAATCCATCCACTTCTTTTCATGACCAGCACTACCTTAGTTGAACCTACTCATCACGCTGTAGTCTCCTAGCTTTCATTCTTTCTCTCCTTTCACACGACAGAAATGTTCACAAAAGCAAGTCAGATGTCATTTCACATTAAAACCTTTAAAACACCTCCTTCGAGACTCTACATGATCTTGTCCTGCAAAGACATCCAACTTCACTACCTTTCTTCCTTTGATTCCTCTAACACAGTCACACTGATGTCCTTTACGACATTCCTTCTTTCTTGCCTCCAGATCTTTGTACTGTACTGTTCCTATGGCCTGGATTGATTGATTGCTTTCCCCTCAGCCCCCAGTGGCAGTTCCTTCTCATCTTTCAGATCTCGGCTGAGATATCTTTTATTCAGAGAAATCTCTGATCCGAAGTGGTCTCTCATCACTGTCTATCACCCCGGTGTTTCTTTCACAGTAGTAGTACACATTTCAATGTATTTAATTCGTTCACGTGTTTACTGTCTCCCTCGCCAGAGCTCCAGGAAAGCAGAGGTCTTTTGCCTGGCTTAATAACAACCAAATTGCCAGTAATTACTACATCGCCGGGCACGCTGTAGGCACTTGAGTATATTTCATACAAATAATGAATGAGCCTAGGATGCTTCCAAAATTATGACGCGGGCAGAGAGTGGAGTAAAGGTAAAGGAAAAATCTAACACAGGGAAAGCAGGCTGAAGAGTAACGCGCACGTGGATTAAAAGGATGCTTAACTTTGGTGTCTAAACCTCACCATACCGTCCCCCACGCCGGCCCCCACCCCCTGCCCCGCCGCCTCCGAAATCCCGAGAGACCACACCCAAAAGCCTCTCTTGAGAGGCACCAAGGGCCGTTTACAGCGAAACCGGGGCCTGAGGTGGCGGGGAGCGGTCCCCTTAACTCCGAAGGACCCGGGTAGACACGTGAGAGCCCCACGCTCGGAAATCAGGGCTCTGGAAGCCTCGCTTCCGGAGCCCCACGAGGCTAACGGGTGGCTCCTGAGTTTCCTAAAGCAGGCGAGACACCCTGTGCAAAACCTGGGTGGCAGAGTATCAGGACTCACATCGTCCGACTGCATCTCGTCCGCGGTTCACCAGGTAGAGCCGGGTCAGTTGAACGGAGCAGCCATGCTGCTTCCGGAGAATCACTTCCGCGAAGCCCAGTCTTGCCTATCGCGAGAGTTCTGATTTCGCGGCCTTGCAGCAGCGGCCCCTGGCGGTTTAACCTTCGCGCTCGCCGCCGAGTCGTCGGACTATCCCCACACGCTCGAGGCACCTGGTTCTCGTCAACCCCGCTGAGGGTCCGGGCGAGGCCGCTCCTGAGTCGGCCAATTCCGATGCGAGAAGACCGGAGACGCCAGGAGCGCCCCCTGTCGAGCCCGCGGTTTGTCGGTCTCTGGAGAGTCGGCCGCCAGGGCTTGGATGCGGGCTCGGGCTGCGCGCGGGGCGCTAAGCCAGGCTGTCGCTTCCTCGCCCGGTCTGTGGACCTCAGACGCGGTCTTTTCAGACCTAAGACCCTCTCTTCCGCTCTTAACACGCATTTGCTTGGTGTGGAATTGGGTCCTGACTAGAAATTCATGCATCAGAGGATATTTCAAGAGCAACAGGTTTTTTCCCACGCTCTTTCTTTTGACAAGGAAAGAAGAAAATCTTCACTAGTTCATACCGTTTTCCAAAAGAAAGGCCACGAAAAGAGTAAGAAAGTCACACTCTCAGAATAAAGATGGTCCTTGATTTGCATACCATGTTATAAAATAATTCAATGTGTCATAAATAGTATAACTTCGTTGCATGCAGATGAAAACCAGGAATTGGAATCACCCTGTTAGAAAGCATTGATATAGCACTGGGTTTTGAAGCCAAACTTAAGAGTATAAAAACCGACTTCAGTTTACTGGATAAGTGGATGAGAGTCACTTAACCTTTAGCAAACTTAGGAGTGTGCAAGGTCTAGAGGTATTACAATAGGGAAGAACAAGTCTGACTTCATATTGGATTTTTCTTTTTCCCCATGTCTGTATTCCATTGCTCTTGCTACTCCTGAATAACTAAAGGGATGTTACCTGTAGCCTGAAATATACAGGCTGGCCCATTCTCAAGGATCAGACCTTTCAAGGTGTAACACTGTCCCATTCATATAGAGAGAAAAAGTTGCAGAACAGAATAACACTTCTCTTGTTGGACACTCATAGGAACATCGTGACCTGACCCACCTTGACAGCCGTAAGAACAAAGGATTCTGGCACTAAGAAGTTTGCAACAACCAACCTAACCTTCCCTTTTTATAAAAAAAAAAAAGGCCAGAGTCCTCTGTCTTCTCCATTGTCTGGCTTTCCAAATAAAATTGCTATTCCTTGCTTCAACAATTAATCTTTTTATTCATTGGCCTGTCTTGCAGCCAGCAGTAGGAGCTTGGACTCAGTAGCAGTATGTTAAAAGTATGGTTTACATTGCTTCCTAAAAAGCAGTGATCTTTCTTACTAGCCTACTGCCTTATACAAGACTGGTTTAGAGACCAGAGGAAAGTCATATTATAAATACAAGTACCCTTTTATGTTAGTAAAATCAAGTATAAAACAATGTGGAGGAACAAAAAAACTGGATATTACCTAGACTACGCTTAACCACCCAGACTACAGCACCCTCTCTGAATTAAGTAGGGGAAATCGTGTGGGTTTTTTTTTTTTTTTCAAACTTTTAACTTTTTATTTTGTATTGCAAGAGATCCCAGTTTAATTCCTGGGTGGGGAAGATCCGCTGGAGAAGGAATAGGCAAACTGGTCCAGTATTTTGGCCTGGAGAATTCCATGGACTATATAGTCCATGGGGTCGCAAAGAGTCCGACAGGACTGAGCAACTTTAACTCTCGCTTTCATTCTTCCCCAAACCCCCTACCCATCCAGGCTGGCACGTAACATTGTGTAGAGTTCCATGTGCTATATAATAATAGGTCTTTGGCTATCAGAAATGGTGTATTTTTTTCAGTTTGGTTTTGTATAACACTCTGTCCCTGCTCACTATCACCAGGTGAGTTCTGTGAATATATTTTTAATTGAGGTATAATTAACATATGTTAATTTTAGGACTATAAAAATGATTTGATATTTGTGTTGCAAAAGGATCACCACATTAAGTCTAGTTAACATTTATCACTATACATAGTTACAAATTTTCTTCTTGTGATGAACTTTTTACTCCTTTAGCAACTTTCAAATTTGCAGCAGTGTGATAAATTATCAATACCTTACTATTTATTATATATACGTACCGTGCTGAATATACACATATATATATATCTCCCCTCCAAGCATTTTGTCCCCACCCCACCACCCCACCCCTCTCCTCTGGCCACCATTAATCTGTTCTCTGTAGCCGTGAGCTCTGTTGTTTTGTTTTTAGATTCCATATGTAAGTAAGATCCAGTATTTGTCTTTCTCTGGATTAATTCACTTAGCATTATGCTCTCAAGGTCTATCCATGTTCTTGCAGATGGCAGGGTTTCATTCTTTTTTATGGCTAACTAATACTCCATTGTGCATATACATGTATGCACATATATGCTGCATTTTCTTTTTAAATTCATCCCTCAGTAGACATGATTGTTTCCATATCTTGGCTATTGTAAATAATATTGCAATGAATATGGGAGTGAGTCTGTCTTTTTGAGTTAATGTTTTCATTTTCTTTGGATAAACACCCAGAAGTGGAATTACTGGATCATGTAAGTGGTTCTGTTTTTAAATTTTGGAGGAACCTCCGTACTGTTAACGGTGGCTGCACCAATTTACATTCCCATAAGCAGTGTTCAAGGGTTCTTGAACATTTCTCCACATTGAGCATTTCTCTACATTTTCACCAACACTTGTTATTTCTTGTTTTTTGATAAAAGCCATTCTAACAGGTATGAGAAGATACCTCACTGTGGTTCTGATTTGCATTTCCCTGACAACTGGTGATATTGAGCATCTTTTCATGTACCTGTGGCCATCTTGTATGTCTTTGAAAAAATATCTGTTCAGATCTGTCCATCATTTAATCTGGTTGTTTGTGGGTTTTGTTTGCTACTGAGTCGTATGAGCTTTTTAAAAATATATTTTGGATCTTAACCCCCTATCAGATATATGATCTGCAAATATGTTCTCCTATTTAGTAAGTTGCCTTTTCATTTTGTTGATGGTTTCCTTTGCTATGCAGAAGCCTTTTTAATTTAATGTGGACTTGTTTGTTTTTGTTCTTGTTGCCTTGGCTTTTGGTGTCAGATCCAAAAAATCAGCACCAAGACTGATGACAGGAGATTACTATCTATGTTTTCTTCTAGGAGTTTCACGATTTCAAGTGTTACGTTCAAGTCTGTAATCTATGTGGGGTTGATTTTTGTGTATGGTGTTAGACAGAGGTCCAGTTTTGTTCTTTTGAATGTGGCCAGTTTTCCCAGCACTGTTTATTGAATAGACAGTTTTTCATTCAATGTTCTTTGCTCTTTGTTGTAAATTAATTGACTGTAAAACTGTGGATTATTTCTGGGCTTTCTATTCTGTCCCACTGGTCTGTGTGTTTGTTTTCAAGCCAATAACATACTGTCTTTTATTACTATAACTTGGTCATATAGTTTGAAATTGGGAAGTACGATGCCTCAAGCTTTTTTCTTTCTCAAGATTGTTTTGACTATTCTGGGTCTTTGTGATTCCATGCAAATTTTAGGATTGTTCCATTTCTGTGAAAAATCCTATTGGAATTTTGATAGGGATTGCATTGAATCTATAAATTTCTTTAGGTAGTATGGGCATTTTACCAATATTAATTCTCCCAAAACACAAGCACAGAATATCTTTCCATTTATTTGCATATTCTTCAGTTTCTTTCACCAGTGTCTTACAGTTTTGCTGTACAGATCTTTTACTTCCTTGGTTACATTTATTCCTGAGTATTTATTCTTTTTGGTACTTTATCCTATCAAATTCCCTACCACAAATATTATTATACATTTAAATAGTTTTTTTAATGTCCTGTAATCTTAAAGCTCTATGTATAAAGAAAAAGTTATGGAATGAGTTATCATTGCAATTAGTATTAATAGAAAATTGAAAAAAAAAAGAAAATTGACTTAAGACACTGCTGTTAGACCTTTTCAACATGTCTCATCTGTCCCCTAAATTTTCTCATAGTCAGTTAACATATTGCCCTTCTTTTTAAAAAGTACTTGGTTATTTATTTTTGGCTGCTCCAGGTCTCCGTTGCTGGGCGAGGACTTTCTCTAGTTACGTCGAGCGGGGGCTACTCTCTAGTGACAGTGCGTGGGCTTCCCGTTGCCGGGCCTTCTCGTTGCAGCCCACGAGGGGCCTGGAGCACACGGGCTTTCTGGTTGCCGCTCTCGGGCTCAGTAGTTACGGCTCATGGGCTTTAGGGCTTGAGGTCAGTAGTTGAGGTGTGTGGGCCTACTTGTCCCTCAGCATGTGGGGTCTTCCCAGACCTTATTTTTGAGCAGAATATGGGCCTGATCTGATTTGTGACTTGAAAAGATCACCCTGGCTTCATATGGAGGCAGGTGTGGAAACAGGGAACCGTTGGGAAGGTATCACAGTAATCATGATGACATGATGTTGAGCATCCTTTCTTACACTGGTCTGCCATCTCCATATCTTCCTTGATGTGTCCAGGTCTTTCACCCATTTTAAAAATTGGGTTGTTTGCTTCCTGATTGTTGAATTTTAAGAGTTCTTTGTACATTTTGGATACTCAGACTCTATCACATATAACTTTTGCAAATATTTTCTCCTGGTCTGGACTTGTCTCAGTCTCTTGACCTTTATTATCTTTTAATGTTCACGGGGTTAGTAGGCATGACCCTTCTTTTACTTCTGATGTTAGTAATTTGTGTCTTCTCCCCTTTTTACTGGTTATCCTAGAAAAGCATTTGTCAATTTTATTGATCTTTTCAAAGAATCAGCTTTTGATTTCCTTGATTTTCTGTTAATTCTCTTTCAATTTCATTGATTCCTGCTCTAATTGTTATTATTTCATCTCTTCTGCTTATTTGAATTTATTTATTTTTTTTTAATTTATTTATTTATTTTTTTTT